TGGGAGGGGGGATCGGGATGGGGAATACATGTAAATCCATGGCTGATTCATGTCAATGTATGACAAAAACCACTACAATATTGTAAAGTAATTAGCCTCCAACTAATAAAAATAAATGAAAAAAAAAAAAAAAGAAAAGAGTCAGGTAAGAGAGAAAATAGGCAAATACCCAAAGAAACCAAGGTAGGCACAGGAAATAGGGAGCCTGTATATTTAATCACTGGCAAATGTGCCCTCAGTGATACAAACATAAATTTTATGTTTTATTTACTTTTTTTGTTTGTTTTAAGCCCTAGAAAACTAAGGTTGTAATGCTCAGTCCTGTATAACCCTGTGACCTCTTGTACTGTAGCCCATCCAGCTTCTCTGTTAATGGGATTCTTCAGGCAAGAACGCTGGAGTGGGTTGCCATTCCCTTCTCCAGGGGATCTTCCCACCCAGTGATCAAACCCTCGTCTCCTGTGTTACAGGCAGATTCTTTACCATCTGAGCCACCAGGGAAGCCCAGTGTTTTCTAATGAGTATTTATTAAACTTCATTTGATGTTGAGTGGATATGCAGACACTAGGATGACTAAAACTAGAAGGTAAATGAATGTTATAATCTTGCTTATAAGATTACTTCCAGTTGCAATCAGACCCTACCAGAACTCAACACCTTTCCAGACTTGAACTGACTTTGAGATAGATAAAGTAGTATAATTAAGTGAATGGTTTGATTCCCATATCTTAGCATGGCAAAGAACAGGTGAGCTATTGGGAAATAAGGGAGCCGGAGCCAGCAAGAGCATAAAACATTTTAGAAGGCTGCAGATGTAAAAGTAAGGGTGAGTGCAACTAGATTAAATCAGTCTCGGTTAAGATGGGTAACTATTGGCAACTGTCTCTAGGAGAAATGAATTAAACGTAATCATGACAAATTAAAATGTCTGACAAGATACATTCATTATAATCTTTCTTTAAAACTATTGCTTTACTCTTTCTAAAGTGAACAGATTATTCCCATTTCTGTTATATACAAAATGACTTCATGAAAGTAACCTCTTGTTCATTTCCATCAGAAACAGGCAACTATATTTATCAAAAAAGTGTGTCATATAGTGGAACTTTGGCCTCATTTCCAATTTCTGTTGGAATATAATACATATAAATAAGTTTTCATTCAACAACACAGAACACAACACTTGGAAAATTCACAATATAATCTTGAATGGACTGTCATGTTATACACTAAAGTGTATCTGAGACTGTGGTCTATAAAGAAGATATTAAAAGACTTCAGCAATTCAGCTCTAAATTCTTCCCTTAGATTGAGGTAGACTAGCAGAATATTGTGTACTTAGAACGAAGTGGTTAGTTCCACACAGTATCACCTTCTCTGAGGTGCTTCCTAATGTTACATTCTCTGCTTTAGCTAAAGGCTATTTTAAGAAATAGCCATGTGGAAATGAGTTTGTCATTCACCACAAAGCTGTTGTAAGGAACATGGAGAACTAAAGTGTTTGTATAAGATCTTAAAAGTGATGGCAGGTGAAAAGTTTCTTTTGGGATTTAACTCTAGCAAGAACTTTTTCAACTAACTAACTTGTTTTCTAAAGAAAAGCCGATGTAACCTTTCCTCAAGGACAAATAACTGGTTAAGGAAATAGACTGTAAAGACTAGCTCTATGAGCATATATCCTAGATATGATTTAGGTAAGTTTTTTTGTGTGTTTTATTTCCCATTTGTGCTTGCTTTTGAAGATGACATTTACCTTCTGTTTGTGAAGGAACATGGCTACTGGCAGTTTCTTGACTCCTCTTATTAATTGGTCAAGACCAATTCATATTATACTTCTCTAGTAAATTGTCTACATTTCTAAATTATACTCCTCTTCCCTTTTCCTCTAACCCACAATAGTATTTCTCAATGCAATTTCAGGGCTTTCTGACTCGGAAAGTTTGCTTCAGATATTGTCAAATCAATATGGCAGTGACGACAATAATTCATAGCATGATATAACATCAAGACTGTGTTTAGAAGACGTAAAAGTTATTTAAATCCAATCACTTGATAGAATCCTATCCAGAACATCTATATCATGTAACTGTTTACCTATGGATTTTAACATCTCCCAAGACTGCCCAATTCACTTTGTTATAACTCTGTATAACC